CCTTACAGATTCCATTGCAACGCAATTAATGATTCTTTCATGCAAGAGAAATAGCTACAGCTTTCAAAATTATATTCCAAATTAAAAAAAAAAAAAAAAAAAGCTGTGTTTTTAAGTGTGGCTTTTAATTTCTACCTTTGAAGTGAGTTACCAGGCCCTCCTGCTAAAAACCAGAGGGTTCATAGGAAAACAGGCAGGGAAGTAGAGAGTCCATCTTCTTTGAAAAGGGCGGCATGATTTTATATTAGCTTCTGGTTCTAGTGCTAGCTTCCTCTCCAATTCTTTCCCCCATTCTTCATTGCTTTGGTACAGGACTTTTGGTGGCAGAGCCAAAATGCAACGTTTTTTTTCAGAGTAGAAAAATCAATAGTAATCAACCCAACATTTTCTTGAAATGCTGACTCCAAAATAGCACTCATGAAAGTTTTGATATACAGCTGTTGGTTGGCTGGGAATGCCACTAGGAATTATCAGAATGCTTTGTCTGAACTGCTGCAGAGGAATGATTAACTCTACTGGCATGTGACTTCCATGGGAGTTTGCACAATTTTCTCCAGACCCATTAAATGACTTCATCATGTGGTCAGAGTGTAGTTTGCTACTGTGGCCGTAAAACCCAAACATCTGTACAGATGCTGGAAATATCACCAATACCTGATTTATCCATTATTCTCAAGTTTATCTTCAAAACTGTTCTTCAGAACTGAGATGAACACAGAATAGCAAAACTCCTGATGATGCCAACACATCCACAAACAATGTATTACCTTACAGAACCTCTCTTTTCCTCTGTCCTTTGACTGGATGAGCTGGTTCCAGACTTCTGATCAATACCTGCTTTTTGTTCATTCTGTTGATCTGCTCTGGATGTAGAGTTGACTTCTTCTTCTTGAGTTTTAACAGCTTTATTAAATAAGAAAATGAGTTGCAATTTAACAGAAAGGGTGGGGAAAATGTGTCATGTTTCAAATTACTTAAGAGAAATATTGAAGAGCACTTGAATATGAATTTCAAGAGAGTGTTTTAACCAAGATTTCTACTGACATTGTTAATGAAACTTTTTTACACAGCATCATACAATAAACAGTAGCAATTGAATTACTGAAATCTGCATATTTTATTTTATTTTTTTTACATCTGGAAGTCAGATAGTACCCATTAATCTTATAATGTACAGTGACAGTAAAGTACTGACACCAATGTTCTTATGGTGTTAGACATTTAATATATATTACATTTAATTAACACCAATTTGTGTTTACTGTAAAGAGACTACAGCAATGGTGTATCAGTCATCCCAAGCACTGTTAGTTTAGCTCTTCTACGAATTTACCTTTTTGTGATCCTTGGAAGGTGTCTTTACATTGCCTTTAATTAATTGCAATTTCAGTATTTGTCTCTTCAGATACTTGCTCTGAACCTTCTACTTGCACTTGTAGTTCATACATTTAAAGAGAAAGTGCAAACAAGATGATTGTACCAGCTTACTTAAATATGACTATAATTAAAACATAATAATCGGATGTATTTAGTAACACAAGAGGCAGTGGGCTGAAAGTGATGCACAGAATTTCCACCTGAACATAAGGAAGAACTTCTTTACAGTGTGGGTGACATGCACTGGAACTGTTTGCCCAGAAAGGGTGAGGAGTGTCCGTCACAGGAGATATTCCAGACCCACTGCACACAAGCCTGTGCCCTGTGCTCTGGGATGGCCCTGCTTGAGCAGGGAGGTCGGACAATGACACCCTGTGGTCTCTTCAAACCTCACCCATCCTGTCACTCTGTGATTTAGAGGTCAGGCTAGCTGTGTGACTACAACACCAGAATAAATACTTCTCCGGCAGCAGGAAAGTAAAGAAATGTCAGGAAAGCGAACAAGATCACAGGAAGATAGCAACTGAGTATGCCTCAGTTATGTCAGGATTTCCAGTGACTATCCTGGCAGAAAGCACACACTCCTATTTGCATCCAGATGAGTATGAAAAGCCGTGATGTGCAGGCTTTGTGTGCTGGCGAGCGAGCCGAGGGGCTCACCTGTGCTCACAGCGCTGCCCTCACGCTCCGTGTGGGCACCTCCGCTCCCGGTGTCGCCCGGCGGCGCCTCTGACACCTCAGGCGCCGGGACCTCTCCTCTGCAGCCGCTGCCCGGGTCTCCAGCGGGCGCCGCCTGCATTCTAACACCCCCCGAGCCGGTATGGGATTTACGCTCTGCCTTTTTCAGACAAAATGTCCACAGGTTTTAGTCGGCGGCGGGCGAGAGACGGGGCACAGCCCGAGCCCCGGCTACCGCCTCAGCCGTGGCCATGGCGACGCCGCGCGCATCCCCACAAGGCCCCGCGGCCGCTCCCGGCGGCCCCGCGCGGCGCAGGAGGCGGCGGGCGCGGGCGGCG